TTCACTATAGGACATTTGTATCGCTCACAACACTCACGACAAAAAGATCACTTCTCAGCCTTATTTATTAGCCGTACTGATTAATCAAATATCATCAGCCGTACCCAGCTTACCATCGGACCTATCAGAATATGGCCTCTAGTACCAAGCAGACATTTATAAAAAGCAAAGAATTTAGGTGCTTCAACTAGACTCCCTTGTGGCAGCTCACTTTCAATCTCGCTCACAGACCATCATCGTGAAACTGACTTTTCAAAACGTTATTCCACTTGTCCCCCTTAACATACGGAGCTGCCAATATCATTAACCGAGCCAGTCTCTCTCATAGCTATTAATAGCGCAACGATATTATCAGTTATTCATCATCTTATAAGACCTAGGATGACTATAATTCTTAAACAAATATTTATTAGTAAATAAATCCTACTAGCTAGAATGTTTAGCTAAATGGTTAAATAACAGTCAGTATAAATAATAACTTTATTTATGAAAGGGAATTAATATATACATTTGTACCTATAAATTTTGGCTTAAGGATAAAAGGCAATGAAAAGATGACCCACAAAAACAAAACAAAGAAAGCATGAAGCTATAAACGGAACATACCCCGGTTGCAATGCGAAATTGGTAGTTCGACCAAATACGATGCCAACACAATGTCATTTCGTTAGCGCCGCAATGCATACAAGATGAGTCGCCGGCACAACCCTTAGAGATCGAAGGATCATTTTCATCAATGTTTACATCAGCCTTTGATAGGCCAGGGGGTTCTGCCTGCTCAGACTTTTCTGATTCGCCATTAATGAGATGGTGGCCATTATGAAGGGCAAGATTGTATTCAAAACGTTTAAGAGCAGTCTTGACATCGGATCTGCAAGAATCAGAGAAAGGGAAACCTTGACCGAGAGCAGCACCATTTGTCTCACCTGTTGCAGGACGGAACAAATCAACAGGTCTTTGTCTTTTCTCCATGATCCATTGACAAATAGGAACATTGAGATTCTAAAAATGGGATAGAAATAATTAAATAAACATTAAATAGAATATATATGATGTGGAGACATGGTTATTGAAATAAATATAAGCTTCCTGAAACAACGTCACTAATAATGGAAATTAATATCGATTAGATTTGCCAATGCCCGGATCTCTTAGTAAACCTATAGAATGACGACGATCCATGAATATAGTATTGGTAATCCAATATAAAAAAGTCGAAAATTATGAAACCAGGGGAAGGCTTTAAAGAAAATGTAAATACATTTTTGCCTTATTAAGTTTGGATAGACGTTTTGGCAACAGAGAGAATGGAATGAAAAATTCACATATGAGCTATGTCTGATTAGCAATATATAGATAAAAAATGTAAATATATGAAGAAAAACTAGGCTTCGAAGAATTTCTTAGTGATATATTGTGACATGACATTCCATTTCAAAGGAAAAGTTGGTTGGAAGAAATTCCTGATGCGGTCTCACTGGAAACTAGAGTATCGC